AAACATTGAGCGTAGGAATGCTAAATATAAACTTGCTGGAGATAAGGGTAGAAAACATGTTGTGTTTGCACCTGGAGATCTTGTTTGGTTACATTTGCGTAAGGATAGATTTCCTGATTTGCGCAAATCAAAGCTAATGCCACGTGCTGACGGACCTTTTAAGGTGTTAGATAAAATAAATGATAATGCATATAAACTTGAGCTGCCTGCAGATTTTGGGTTTAGTCCCACTTTTAACATTGCAGATTTGAAGCCTTATTTGGGAGAGGAAGATGAACTTCCGTCGAGGACGACTTCATTTCAAGAAGGATGGGATGATGAGGACATCAATACCATTGTTACACCCGCAACCCCTGCTGCTATACATATTGGACCAATTACTAGAGTTCGCGCACGCCAATTAAATTACTAGGTATTTTCGTTTCTTGGTAATGATTCTAATGTTCATGAGAATATGATGCTGCCTAAATTGGATACATTTGTTTTGCTTACAAATGAAGGGCCTAGCTTGGAGAAGGATGAACATTGGAGCAAGACCAAGCATGCAGATGATGGCATGCGCAAGGGGAACAACAACGGAGTTACAAGTGATGATTTCAGGACTTTGAAGCCACCATAATGAGTGCATGAAGCCTTGGCTGAAATATACAAGATGCCACTTTATAAATTTCGTCCAGAGGCTATTCTAGGTGCTGTGTCACCTTTTTATTGAGCCAGGCCCATGTAATTTCGAAATACATAAGTATAGACTATTTTTAGAGTCCATATGTGTGGGGAACAAGAGATAGGGTTGGTTTCGGACCCCTCCACTAAGGGCCACGAAATCCCCCCCCCCCCTTCCTCCATATATACAGCCCTTAGGGCACCGTTTAGACTTTGGGTTTTGCTTAGATTAAAAGTTCGCCATAGCTGCAACTTCGCGTACTTCGTTTGTGTTCAACGACCAGACAAAGGCGTCTCAGAACCCCTCCTTCATTAATAAAGCTTTCCTCTTATATTCGCAATATCCAGATTGCAATCTCAGTTTCTTGCTTGTTCTTCGTTTGCTCGCAGGAAAACAGACCCTCGTGGTCAGGTTGATCGTGCTCCGGCGTGGTCAATAACCCCTCGGAAGTTGGTTTAGCGATTGTTAAGGCGCGACGTCTCGCGCGTTCGTAGTCGGATCGTCAAGGTCGACTCCCACAAAAAACGATAGCCACCATCTTATCGAAACATCGGGACACCTTTGCCTCTATCACTTATTGGATGCACCTTCGGACTTCCACTCATGCAACGACATCGAGCATTGGTACATCAACACTCCTTTGGCACATTGCACCCACACCTCCATATTTGTTGATTGTGCTCCCACATGTCATGCTCGATGGACATATCATACTCACCGCAAGTTTGCACCCTATGCATGGATTGACTCACATTATGATTACCTTGTTGCATCTTATTTTCCCATATCATCCATGATATATGAGCTTGTGCATTTTCTTAGCAAAATTGTTGTGATCTTTCTAGATGGCATATACATCCATAATGATTACATTGCCCCCTATCAATTGCATGATCACATACTCACATTGAGCACCAATTACCATGTTCATGCTTTTGATGCACCATCCCTCTATGACATCATTTTGCACCATGGTTGCATTCATCATATTCGCAACACCTTTGTGCATGCCTCGAATGAATTTGACAACATGAATGCTTTACATAGCATTTTACATCATTTGGATAAGCATATCTTGCCTTTTCATGAACACATATCATCCATGATATGTGATATATGAGCTTTACATGCCTCGAATGAATTTGACAACATGAATGCTTTACCTGTCATTTTACATCATTTGGATAAGCATATCGTGCCTTTTCATGAACAATTCCATTGGACGACCTCACGCTTAATTGATAGACATTTTGTGTAGGCTAACCATTGTATCTCCGAGTGTCGCTTGTGTTTGCTCATTTTGCATGTACCACATACTGGAGACACCTTGGAGTACTTGGATTGCGTCATGCCTTCAACTCCGTCCAACTACAAGTCCATCCACGACAACCGTTTCCATGGTGATGAGGATCACGATCCGAGGTCGGATCTTTCCCCGGGAGGGGGGGGGGGGATATGACGCAGAGCATCCCACGTTCATCCCCATTTACACTCCGACTACTCTCCAAGCCCCAAGGATACATAAGATGAGACCTCGACTATGCGCCATTGGACACAAGGTGAATCCGTTCCTAAATGCTTCCCCTTTCCATTCGTGTGAGACATGGTTGCTACCTCATGCAAAGACACTACATGTGCTTAGGTACCAAGAAGACCCTCTCGAAGATGCTCGGGATCATGGACAAGTCCTCAAGTACACGGATGAAGGAGCGCGACAGAAGGAACCGGAGAAGTCCCTAGGACCCAAACATCCGGCCCCTGGAGCATCTACTATAGCCGCAGCCCAGCCGAAGCTACAGGCCCCAGACATCCTGCCCAGGCCCCGGACATCCGGCGCACGGCGAGCGGCCGGACATCCGGCTTGACCCCCGGAAATCCGGCGCCCCATTACAGAAGCTGGACCCCGCCAGCCCGGACATCCGGCCTCCCAGCCTAGAAATCCGGCCCGTCCCGAAGCCCCGGACATCCGGCCCCTAGCCCGGACATCCGACGCCTGTCTGCGCACAGAGAATGGGCCCATGTATCCCTTTCCCACTTACCCCTTTGTGGCTTAGACTATAAATAGACCACCTCCTCCTCCTAGTTAGGGTTAGCATAGGTTTAGCTCATATAGAGCTTTGCTCATCCATACAGATCTCCTCCTCGTGAGAGACCGCGACCTCTTCGGAGAAGATACGCCTGGATTCAAGACCCCTTTACGGGAAGATCCCTCGCGGATTCAAGACCTCCTCCCGGAGATGAACTACCGCCACTTGTATCGTCCTTTGTTGGATTCAGACCTTGTATCTCTTTGTGTTTCTTGGATCTAGCACATGTGTGATCGGATCTCGTTGGTTGAGTGATTCTCTTGTGTTTTCCCTCGTGTTCCCCTCGTTTTCCCCTCGTGTTCTTCGTGCTCTTGGTAGGATTCTCTCCAAACGTGAAAGATCGGGCGTCTAGGGTTCTACCCTACATCAGATGCCCTGCAGGTAGTGCGACGAACACGGCCGCGGGTGTACAAGGCACGTGATCGTGGTTGTATCAGCCGTGGCATCCCGCCTCAACCAAGCTGGCAGGTGGACCTGACAATAACTATACCTGAGCATACCTCGGGCCTGGCCGGGCCAAAAAAAGCCTGGTGCTGAAAACCTAGGCCCAAGCCCGGCCCGGCTCGATCGTCAGGCCTACTAAATCAGACCCGAGCCTGGCCCGAGCCCAAAAATCCCGATACGGCTCGACCCGTCTACGGCTAAAAATCAGTATTACACAAGCACAAGCCTGGCCCGACCTGCCCGATGGGCTCGATTTCCAGGCCCGAGCCTGCCCCGATGGCACGCTCGGGCTCAACCCGGTCTGGGATTTTCGGGCCGTCCGAGCCGGGCTGCCCTTGGCCAGGTATAGCAATAATGTCGCCCCCAGGCGCAGCTTCGAGCTGTGAAATCTGAGGATTGCCCCTTCCCATCCCAACCTATAGCTGGCCAAATGGGTCGTGCTAACTGGGCCGACCCGATAGCACGCAACAACGACACGACAAGGCCCGGACTAAACGGGCCAGGTTCGGCACGTGGCACGCCATGGGCCATGCCTGGGCTTGGAGGCTGAGCACGTGAGCCGGCACGACACAACCCTTTTATTATTTTTATTATTTTCGAGATTTTTTATATATACATGACCTAAATTAGAGTCTAATAGGCCTAAAATACAACCCAATAGGCTAAAAAAGGTGGCCCAGCGGGCACGGCACGGCCCGACTATTAAACGTGCCACAACGGGCCGTGCCGTTTTCCCAGGTCTGCCCCAACTCAACCTGGCAGTCGGGTCGGATTTGGTCGGGTCGACCACTCCCGGACCCATGCCCGAATCCCTTATCGGGTCCGTCGCCCGCCCACAACCCTGCCCATGGGTCAAAGTTCAGACCCATGCCCGAACCCATCGGGTAACCTGACCCACTCGGGTACCCATCGGGTCCAAGTAATTAATAAAAATTGAATTAATTTCACACTTTCTTAGTGTGTTCAAATATACTAATTTCGTTCCTTTCCAACACGAAGGTGTAAACAAAATTTCTTTTAAAAATCACCAGACTAGAACGCACGAGCAAGCTCTGCACCGAGGTGGTTCTTATATAGGCGTCCATTCTTTCTCACCGCGCTTCCACTTTCGAGATGGTACTAATACCCAAGACAATACCTTCGCTGCTACTGGCATCGTAGCACTAGTAGGCTAGCGACAGCCAGTGGCCAGCCGATTACGTGACGATGGGCCAGACGCTTCTCATGTGTTTTCCTGGCCCAATAGCTGTATTGTTGGACTGCCGAGAGAAAAACTACTACGTTCAAGTACTACTACTTGTCTACCGCTAAAACAAAGTACTCCTACTTGTCTAATGCATGTGTTTGCGGTTCTATATAGCTAGAATATGCACCATATCTTGATTATATCTATTAAAATTTATGATTATGAATATTAATCGGGTAGCCCATCGGATTACCTATGGGCAGAGATAAAGACTCATATCCTACCCATAATTAATGGAATTGCCCATAAATTTTATCCATGGGCGAAGATAAAGACCCATACCTTACCCATTCGGCGGGTGCCCATGGGCGGCCGTACCCATGGTCAAATTGCCCCCATCCCTCCCCGTCTGCCTCCTCCAGTCCTCCTTTGGCCTGCCCTTTATAAAAGCCAACAACTACCCCGCGGCGCACCGTTGCTTCCTCTCCCTTTCCATTACCTTCCTTGTCCTTTCCTCCAATCGAATTGGTTCTCCAAATCTTAGGGTTAGGGTTTCGTCTATTCCGTACCTTCCTCCCATATTAGCGCGTCTGGTCCCTGAGCTTGCTTTGCGCGTGGGATGATGGGCACTGCCGTGGACCTAGGACGGAGGCAGGGCGGCAGCCGCTTCTACGACGCTGGCAGGGCTCGACGAGGGCACCATCATGGCCTTCCCAAGTCGAGGTGCGCGGCCGCCGCCGTTACCCAGGAGAAGGCGCCGGAGGAGTCCTCCCGGTTGCCAGCGTCCCCCGTAGGAGTTGCAGGCAACCTCAAGAGGTTCGTGGCAGCAGTTACGCTGTCCGTGCCGGCGGAGTACCCCTCCGAGGTTCGCCTATTGACCCCCGCCACACCGTAGGATTGGATCGTTATACTTGTGAGGGTGCGACTGTTCCTGAATCACTGGTGGATTTGGCGATGCAGAGAGGAGAGTGGAGGGGTTGCGGCGTGGATGCCAACCGGGAGAGGCCCTACTTCGTTCTTGACGACCTATGGGAGGCGTACAAGGAGTGGAGTGCGTATGGTGCCGGGGTGCCGCTCGTTCTTGACGGGTGCGACGGGGTCGTGCAGTACTATGTGCCTTACTTGTCCGCCATCGAGCTCTATGGAGACTCATCAGTCCTGCAGTCATCTTCCAACCCAAGGTTGTTCGTGTTTCTTCTAATACACGCTGCTAAAAGCTTATTTTTGTTTTGATTTGAGTGCTATGGGTCCAAGTAGAAAGTGTAAATGGCATCGATTTCTTTTCTGCTAGAAGTAATTGAGTTCGAGTTAACTTAATGACTTACATATTAGTAGTACGTACAAAGAAGCACACTTAATCTCCAATAGTTCTGTGATGTGTGTATGCGTAGATGTTATCCATGGAGCCATAAGATCACTGTCCTCATTTCCTATTGTACGTATTTATCTTTAGTTCTCCAATACGCTGCCAGTTCTTATGGTTGCCTATGGGTGCTTAGGATGATTGCCATTTCTTATTTACATTTCTATGTACTTACTAGTTATTTCCTGACGTCAAGTTGGCCTAGCCTATTGTACGAGCCTGAACATGTTTCTTTTGTGTGTGTG